CCTTTATTCCTTTAGAGGCTGGAGCGAACATTTCTTAGCCGTCCTTTATTCCTTAGCTGTCCATTGATCTTGCTCCTCACCATTCACACCCTTGCGAAACCCCTTTTTACTATTATTTTTGGATTCCAATTTTCAAACACCACTCCAAAATTCAAAAATAATCCCTCCGTCACCGGCGGCGCTAAATTCTTTCGCGGGTGATCTTGCCTTTCTCGTCTGCCAGGATGAATAGAGACTCGAACGCGAGGTTCTTCTTTCCCCCTTCTCTGTTCCCTGGTCTGGGGTTTAGGGTTTTGCGACTTATGTGTAACATTTTCCAGTTTTATAATGAAAACATTTCCATTTTTCTTACTGTTTAATGTTCCTTGTGCTCCTATTGTCTCAGGGTATATTTTGACTAACTTGTGATTTGTCAAAAAAAAAATCGATTTTTTCGTTTTTTATTAGCTTGTTTATGTTCTGTAGCTTTGATCAATGTGTACTTTTAATCAAAAATAAATATAACCCATTTACTTGTTTTATTGTTTTTTTCTGTAATTTCAACTTCCTTAGCCAAAATGGTAATATCTTACTGATTCGACTGTTGCAGGAGTTAGTAATTAATTGACTTAGAATGAATTGAAGGACTTATGATTATTAGATATTGGCCCTGATTTGGAGTCAAAAGACAAGTCGAAAACAATGACGGAAGTGGTTTTGGATAATAATGAAAATGGAAGCTTGCCCCATGATTCCAAAGATAAGCTTATGCATTGTGTGAGTAACTGTGAGGACCACATATTTGCTGAGGAAACTTTGTATGGAGAAGGACAAGCAAAAATACCTGAAGGAGATGAGGATATGGAGATTAACATAACTGAATGCACAAATTCTGGTGGGGACAGGTTGGCTGTTGCTGAATGTCAGGATGACACTGAGAATTCGAGTTCTTTTGGTGGCACGGTGTCAGGGATGGAGAATGATTCAGCAATAAGTGATGCTGAAGTTGAATCGGCATTATGTGGTGCGAGTCCACTGGGATCAGTGTTTGATGGATTGTTTCCAGTGAGGTATTTTTTTGTAATTTGTGCTATTTTGTTTTGGTGTTGGTTTATAAACTTATCTGGGTAGATTGTGTGCTGATGAATGATGATTGATTTCTAAACCTTCCACTGCTTTGCCAACTATGAAGATTTCTGCCGGTTTTTTTGGAAATTTAGAATCACTGTTTTAGGAATTTGAAATTGCTGAGGTTATGTATGAAGAACAATGTTCATATTGAAAAATTCTCATGTCCCATTTGCTTGTTAGTTTACTGATATTTAGTAACAAATTTTCAATTGAGTGGTTTCTAAAAACCATAAACCCTAAACCTTATTAAACATACTATTTAAAATCATATTGATGCTGATAGAATTATCGTCTTGATTGTTTTGGCTGGAAAAGTAATGGTAAATAATAAACTCTTTGCTACTATATTACCATTTTGGGAAGTATGCTTGATTTGAAGTCCAATTACATGTTGCATTATTTAGTTTGTTTTGTTTTTCCTAAATTTTACAGGAAGAGAAAGTTGACAGATCATTGGAGGAGGTTTATACGTCCCCTTTTGTGGCGATGTAAATGGTTAGAACTGCAGCTTAAGGAATTTAAGTCTCAAGCATTGACATATGATAGAGAACTTGCAGAATATGATCAGAGAAAGAAGTTTGAATATGAAAAGTTCACTTTTGAAGGGCTTGATGTGAAGTCACAACCTTTTCCTTGTCAATTTCAAAGGAAAAAAGTAATGAAGAGGAGGAAAAGAAAACGAGTTGAAGAGACTGCTGATTTAGCATCTTATATGTCATGTCATAACCTCTTCTCATATTATGGTATGAATTTCATGATCATTCTTAATAGAATTTGTTTTTGCCAAATCCTAATCTGATAAGTATATTTTTCTTGCTCCCAGAAAGTAAGAAATCTGTCGTTGCTACTGCTACTCTGGAAAATGATAATGGTAATTTAGGTAAGAAGAATTATATTTGACTTATTGGTGATTGTTTATCTTATAGTAATAGAACAAGGTTCAACAAATAACCTTACGGTGTGTGTTTGTAAAAATTGACTTTCTCCCTCCTCTACTTGAGATGTCCATTTTCTTACAAGATAATTACTGCAGAAAACAAAACGGGCAATGGCAATGATGATGTTTGGTTGAATGATGGATTGTCGTGTCTTGAATTCAGAGATGGTGATACTTGGTCAGGGCGGATCCTTAGAAAGATTGATCTGGTTCAATCCCAAGTACGCAGGCTAAAGACCAGAGTTGACAAGGTGGTCAACGAAAGTCCTCGAAAGTTCTCTTCCATTAATATGTTGAGTTCCCTTGTGCCATCTGATGCATTAACCGGTTCTAGAAATCGTCCTTCTCCACCTGAGAGTGGAGAGAGAATCCCACATAGATCTCAATATGCTTCATCCCAGCATCTATCTGAGTGTAATATGGGAGATCTTTTTATGCCTGGAAGTGCAGTTTCAAGTCACGGAGAGGTGACACCTTTCCCTGATATGATTGAGGGCACAGGTCAGCATCTGGCCGGGATTTCTTATGAAAATGTGAGTTCTCCTCTTTCAACATATTCTTCTTCTTCTTGATCTTTTAAGTTTTTCTTTTCCATCATTTTCTATTGCTAATAATTCTTCTCTTCTTATTAAGTTTTACATTTCAATTCTTTGCTATTGCTTTTGGCCATAGCAGAGGGTAACAAAGGATTTTACTTGTAATTAAGTATTTTTGGTTTTATTCTTAGCTTCTGCTATGCTGATCCTGCTGGAATGTTAGTTTTGTTTATCTAAGACTAATGGCTAGGAAAGAAAGTTTTTTCCTTTGCACATCTAGCATAAATCAAGAAAAATATTCTCCTTCTCGCCCCATTTCCTAAGTCTCTTATTATTCCCTCTTATGTTTGGTTAATGTTTTACACTACTCTATCATCCTCCCTATTCGCTCTAATCAGGATTCTTTTCAAATTGTTTCATGAAAGATTGTGAATATTAGCTAGTATTTGATTACAAATATGCATTTTGACAATCTTGTTTTCATTTATAGTTCTGCAACTGATCTTCATTTATATCTGCAGACTGAGGATAATATTTTGATACATAACCAGGCTGCGAAGGAAGAGTTGCGTAATTTTCAAAGTGGTTTAACTGAGCAGGCAGAGGAGCCACGGAAACCAATGGAAAAACCTAAGACTGTTTCTATTGTTCTTGCTCCTGGAGATGACCTCCCTACAAACCCTCCTGTTCAACCAAATGCGAAGATATCTTCGACTTCCAAGTCAAAGGGCCCTAATAACAAAAGGAAGAGGGGGAAACGAAAATCAGGCTCAGGTAGGTGGAGTCGAAGATCCTCGGGTTAATTGGATTTGGTAATTTGGGATTTTGAATCTGTACATGTTCGAAGGAAATAACTTCTGGAAGAGCAGTAGTGAACGTATCCAGCTCTAATGATATCTATGTACATGCTCGGTGAATATTTTGCTATCTCCTCCTTGTTTCATGCTTCAAGCATGATTTGTACATGCTACTTGTTCAGTTCAGATGATGCGGTATTCATAGTTTTACATTGTGCTTGGGGGTATTACTTTCTTTGGTGATAGGCCGATCCAGAGTCCAAACCAATCTGTTAACGCTTAGGAATTGAAGTTTCAATTTAACAAACTCGTGTAAAAATTTGAAGAGCGACGGATAAAGTTTATTAAGCTAAAAAGGATGCTTGTATAATCATCTTGTGAGATTTTACTAGAAACAGAAAAAAAGCATTTCAAGCTAGTTTGAAAGATGATGTTCAAGGGTTTCTCTTATTCTGAGTAATCTAATGGTGACCCCCAAATGAATTCCCTGGCTGAAAAACCAGCAGCATTCCAAGTAAATATGCTCTGCTAATGCTACCCGTGGAGAGAATTTCATTAGATTTGTCCAAGCAATTTACATTTACGAAAGTAAACATCATCTCATCTATTAAAATCCTTTCCCAACAGCATGCATATACGCTTACCATAGTGTCAACTGACAGTAGCTTTGTAACTTAAAATTTTATATAAAACCTAGGATATTCACATGTTTCTTCATAATGATTCAAGAGCCTGAGTGAGGCAAGCATTGAAAACCCAATTTTCCTCTTTCCATTTGTTTTTTTCTTTTCTTTTCATTTTAATTTTAATCTGGAGGACAAGGAGGTGTGCTTCGCTCTGCCACAGGCTGAATCTCATCCACATTAGAGGGCTCGGTTTGGTTGGGTTGGGACCGCACGCTCCGCTTGTATAGCCTTCTGGAGAGCTTGGAAATGACCAAGGCAGCCACGGTAACAGATGGTACAAATATAACATCAGGAATGGCCTTAATCATACTCAAATGAGGCAAAAATTCTCCTGCTTTCTTGGCTGCCATGGCTGCTGGAGGGGTTACTATCCCAGTCATAATAGTAGTGTTATCCAGCTTGCTAAGCTTTATTTTCTTAATAAACTGAACAAACACCTCCTTCTTTTTTGCTGGATCTTCTTCATTGCACCATTCTTGAAAACATCTCTGCGTTAAAATTTGATAGTATTGGTATTACGGGATGAATTGAGAAAAGATGAAAGGTAATAGAATGAAGGTAGTGGGAGGAGATGGTACATAAAAATTTCAAGTCAAAATAGACTGACCTCTACTTCACTGCGAGCAGGAGCATCATAATGTTTTCCAGGCAATGCTGAGTTTAAAACACTACAATCAATGGGAGATTGTTAAACTAAAAACTCAGATATTTTCAAATAACTAAAGTAACCACAACAGATAAAGAATAATTGGCATTTGGCAGTGAAGAATCCGATTCCTAACCTAGCATTTTTCTATTTGTTTTCTTGATAGTTTATCCCTGTTTGATGCAAACAAGCTTTCATTTGTGGGTGTGGCATCTTTGTTCTGATGTGATTCTTTGTTTTGCTGGCATTTGGGTAGTTTTCCTGTTTTCTTTGGTTGAGGTGCTCTAAATTCTGATCAGTGGTCTCCACATTTCTTTGGTGGGATTCTATATGTTCAGTTTTCTTGCTTCTAGCAATTTATTTTGGCTGAGAAAAATGAAAAATACTGGCTTTGCTCTTTCAGAAATTCACCCAACTATATATAATATAACAAAGTTCTTATTTATTTATTTATTTTTTTGAGTTTAGGAAAAAAAATTCAAACTCTGTTTTTTAAATAAAAAATTATATATCAATTAATAAATTAAATATTCAAGTACTTTTTATTTATTTATTTATTTATTCATCAATGTGATGTAAAGAAGATATTGAAATGCAAATTTTCATGAGCTAAGCTTTTAAGACATTGTACTAGATAGTTTTATGCAACATATATAGCATTTTCCTCTCCAAAGGGAAACGAATAAAATTATTTTCTTTATGACTACCTAATTCTACAAAAATTTTTATGAAATAGAAATTTCTTACGTCAAGATATCAAGAATAGCAGCATGGAAATCGTCGAAGCCTTTGATTTCTGCATCTGTGAACTGCTCGTAAAGTGATTTAAACACAAAGCTTAACATCTGGGTGGATGGCAACCCTGTCATACACAAAAAGTTCATTCATGGCAGGCATGGAAAATGCAGGGATGTTTTCTTTTTCATTCCCCCTAACTAATAATCAGCCTAAGAAGAAAAAATGATACATACCTTTTCCCATGAAACCACCCATGGAATTCCCCATGTTGCAGAGACTTGAATGAAACTTGAGACAATTAGTCGACTCAACAATGATTTATATAATGGGAGGGAAAGAGGATATGGAAACAGGAAGATCGGGGAATAGCTTTGCCAGTTCATTTGTTAAGTGTAAGCAAGGAATCCACCATCTCTTGCAACTACATTTATCTTAACCTTATTCCTATCTTGTACCTAGCTAGCAATCAGGTTCCTGGAGGAGCTGCAAGCTAACTCAAACGATTATCCCAATTTTTTTCTTTTGCTTCTTCTTCTCCCATCAAGCTTCTCCTCAAATATTGTTTTGAAGCATGTCTTTCGTGGGTGTTGGCTGCGGGGCAGAGCCCTTTCCTTTATGATATGGGCTAAGCCTAAATAATCCCTATCAGAGACTCAAATCAGTCTGTCTAGGGCCGTAAATTTTGATTATGAACTAGTGTTTTTTGTCCTTGCCTTCCCTGTCTTCCCTAGACATCAATCTAGGATTCATTATCGTACTGCTATTTTGCATCCATTCCTGCCTAGTAAGACAGCTTGCTGGGTGTTGCCGTTTCTTAACAATATTAAATGGTTAATTTCTTTTCATCCAATCACTAAAAACGCTACCATCTGTTTACTCGCCAATACATGTATAAGTCTCAAGCACAAAACTTGTGTTTCTTTTGTCACCTGTTGCCTTTCATGTGAACATGTAATGAGTTTCTTTTGGTTTTACGGAGAAATAGATTAATAAAACATACAGCAAAATAAATTTTGAATTAAAAAGAAAAAGTTAGTAAGCTTTACATGCATTGGAATGAGTAAAAGGATGGAAGAATTCAATTTGTTTTAGAGGAATCAATCAATTTCCAAATATTAAATTGCAAATAGAAGTGAATTGATTTTCCATATTTATAATAAATGAAAACTTGAATTACTTCCGGTCATTGTTAGGTATATTATTAGTATTATAGTAATGTTATTAATTACTTCTAAAATTACATTTTTCTCATTAATTGGTGATCCTAATTTCATTTATTAAAGGGAATCTCTTTTGTTAGCTTCTTTGGAAGCACCGCATGGCAGAGAAATAGCCTATTGGAAGTACATTACGTGCTTGGGATGGCAAACACTTCTCTCTAAGTACTGTTAAATTGCAACCGATCAAAAACTAGAATTAACCATCCTTTTATGTATATCTGACTTTGCTCGACCATGAACACCTGTGACCATTCATGCTTTCGTTCTTCTTATTTATTATTTATTATTTATATTTTACTTCATTAAAAAAAATTATAACTTAAAAAGAGTAAAAAATATACAATATATATGGTCGATTGTAGTACTATTTCCTTAAGAATGAGCAAATTGTCAAAAATTAACATTAGTTGAAACAATTACTATGCAACCAATTTTTAATTCTTCAAAGTATTGTTTTGTTTTTGTTTTTGATTAAAAAGTAACAAAATAATAAGAAACAAACAGGCCTAAGATAAAGAATTTGTTTCATGCATGAACCATATATTTTTTACTTAAACAAAATGAAGTCACATTTATTTAGCATTTGATAAGGAATTAATTATAAATCTACATATAATTAATGGATGATAACGATTAATATATGGCCTTCCCAAGGAGAGGTGGATGGGAACTTATAAGGCGGCCGAAGGTGGCAAAACCAACACACATAAGTGAACTAATATTGGCAACGAATGAGATAATAAGAAAGCCGATGAAGGTGTGCTGTTAGGTGCAACGCTACTGAACTCTCAAGGGCACTTGGGGTTGCCCTTAGAGTTCAACTTGTCTCTGTAGCAAGGGCATTCTGATTTGTTGCCATAGGTCCCTGATGGAACACAGCTACATTCTCGGCAGCATATCCCACAGTACTTGAGACAGCGGTCTTTAACTCCAGCCTGGGAACACCTCTCTCCGCACTTGCCATCGCAGAAACCTTTTTGTCAAAAAAAAAGAAAAAAACCACAGAACCATTCATTTCGTTAGAGAAATAACCCCAAGAAAGTTACGTACAGCAAATGTCAAATGCATGCATGGGAAAGACTTATAAAGAAAAAGAACATTACTCGGAGGAGCAGGTGAAGGAGGAGGGACGGGGGCAGCAGGTGTGGGGGTGGGCATTACGGGTATGGCAAAGGAGAGTTGGACAAAAGATGAGCTCAAAACCAGGGAAACAAAGAGTAAAGTCGCAAATAAAAACTTCATTTTTCTTTTGCTTTCTCTGTGGTGGAGAAAAATATATCAATCTGGCTTGCTCCAGAGAAGAGCTGGCTAGACGTCGAGTGAGTGGCCCGATGGATTTCTGAGATTTTGCAAAGGTATTTATAGAGGCGTTTTTGTGAGTGATGGAAAAAGAACAAAAAAAGGGTAATGCTTGTACAGCTTTGGTACAGACTGTAAGGTGGTCCTTTATCGTAGGATGCGGGGACCATGAGCCCAAGTCCTTTGTTCACTAAGGTTCGAAGAGCTTCAAGATTTGTGTTGTCCAGCCAGGTTTGTCCTAGGAACAAAGCTTACTAGTTGCTACTTCCCCTTCAGTTTCCCAAGTTGCAACTGCTTACGAAATGTACTCCAAAGTGATAAAATCGATAAAGAAAAAAAATATATCAGATGAAGGTTTTCTTTACATTTTATTAACCATTAATTAATATATGTGCAGTATGCAATGTTCCAAGACTTCATCCAGCTTAGCTGGCTGGGAATATATACCCATGATCCAATTGTACCTCGTTATCAGTTCAAATCTACTCTTGGATCACTTAGAAAAAAAAAGTTTCAAACCTCGGTTAATCCCAGCAAAGTTTTAGAATATTGTTTGACCCGGAAAGGCAGGTTAACTTGGATACTTGGAGAGGCTTTGAAAGATCGTTTCCTACCAGTGCATTTGAATGAATAATTACGTGTTTCCCAATTATTAAATATATCTAATTACAGTAATGTCACATACTTATTTTAAAAAAATCAATAGTATTAAAATGTATAATTAATTTGCATAATTTTCACATATATTTAATAACCTTTACTTTATAAGTAATTTCCTATAGATGTTCAATAACTTACAGTTATTGAAATATTAGATATTCAGTTACTGAATATCATATAATTTTTCAATAACTTCAGCCTATAAAAATTAGTAATCTCAAAATATATAATCAGTTTTTATAACATTCATTTATTTTTTAATAATATTTATAGTAGGGACAATACACCTAAACCTTCTTGGAGATAATTTTTTTTTTTGGAAGATATTGACGGACCTGTCCCAACCTGACCCTTGTATTTTTCGAATGCAAAAACGTTTATAATCAACTTAATTAGAACGTATTGATACATGTATATATTATAAATATAATATAATACAATTCATGCTAGCAGAAACTATACAAAGGATCATTGCTAGCTAGACGTTGTGATGATGATGAGTCAGCAGTTTTATCAAGTACGTCAATCCTTTTCCAACCATTAAAACCCATTTAATCAGTTTTTGGATCAAGTCAAATATCCCATCAATACTAATGTGTTCTTCGAGGAGTCCAGGCTGTTCGACCTGATCAACTGGCCCAATTTGCACTGAGTTTTCTTTCCAGCTTGGGAATATCCAGGTGGGAAGTATCTGAAAAAGATCCCACAATTGAACAAAACAAAACTTCAAAGACATGAAAGACAAGAAAAAAATAATTATCGTGGTGGAAAACAACAGGTTTGGTGGCATCCTTTGCCAAGCTTGTACATTTTCCTCGTTTCCTCTGATTAATGTGGAAGTTTGACAAAATGCATTGAAAAAATATAAAAATTTATGGTTAGGTTGGCCAATGGCTTATCACCTCAGTGCATAATGAAGCATATGTCTCCCTGGAAGGGTGAACAACTACAGCGATAAATTATGAAAGCCCTGTCGACAAGTGCATGACTTTGACTTAGAGCCGGAAATAAAAGTTTATGCAGCCTCCAAGTTATGACCTCGGATGACTAGCTACCATCTCACCAGCTGGATCTCAGAATCCAAATCGTTTATTAGTATAATAAAGTAATTAATGAAAACGACCTTAATTAATAAATCTCCAAGCATCATTGTTAGGTGATTAATTAGGAGATGTTATACTTACCCTCCACATTATAATTACAGCTACTAATTCATACTATCTTTTCTGAGTGTCCCATTCCAACCACTCCATGTTTATTTCTAGGCACAACACATAAAATATTAAACTGATACCAGCAGACTAATGACAAAAATGATTTTCTTGAACAATGCCTTGAATACTTTAAGAGATTTAGTTAAAATATTATTTATAGTAATTTTCTTTGTCTATATGCAATAATTAATGGTTAATGTTATGAATTTCAATATATATATATATATATATTAAAAAATGATATTATATATTTAAGTGGTATTTGATATTTTACAATGTAGTGTGATTATAAGTAATATGATTGCAAGTAATGTGATTGCAGGAAAAATAAATTTAGTATTTAAGTAAAATAATAATTAAAATATAAAAAAATAATATTGTAACATTTGATTTATAAATATTTTATTCAAAATATAATGTTAATTTTTAAAATTATTTTTATTTATTAAAATATAAATTTAATATACTTATAATTTTTATTATTAATTTTTATATAATATCATCTCCTATATTTATTTTTAATGTGATATACTTTATTTTTATTATAATCTTATATATTTATTTTATTTTTTATATTATATTTTTTTGAAATTTTTTTTAAAAATATAATATAAAGTTTATCGATAATCACTATAATTACTAAAAATAATAATAAAAATCTCTCGAAATTTAAAAATAAAAAAATAAATTATAACATTACAAAATATTTTTAACAAAATAATAAAAATTAATGAATAAAAATATATTTAATAATATTATAAAATACAATATAATCCAATTGTATTGTTTTTGAACTGCAATCACATTATATTTATTGGTTGTAATGTAATTGCATTGCAATTTTATATTTACATTAATTTTTTACAAAACAAACGCTGTAATATAATTTAATTAAACATTATAAAAAATATATTCTCACTTTCCTCGTACTAATACCAAATGCTACTTTAATGTAATCATAAAGAGCATCATTATAACACTCATTAGCAAAATTCATGATAAGAACACAAAATTATAATCACTAGAGTTTTAACTCCCTAAGCAATAAGTATAAGGTGAGATTTGAATTTTCTTTGATAATTATACAGACAGTTGCTAGAAATCATGTATTTACAAAAGGAGGGTCAAAATTTTTTCTGCATAGACAACTTGAGATATACATAACAATAACAATTACATTTTCTGAAGGTTGTGGACTAATAATCATATACATGTAGATAACTTAATAGAGATACAAAGATCAACCTCCACGACCACAGTAAGGATGAATATCTTGACCATGACAACATTCATCGGCATAGTGACTTGAGGCAAGTAAATTGACCTGCAGAAAAGCACAATGAAATATTTAGTGAAACCCAGATGAACTTTAGTATTGTCAATGATTGGAAAAGCAAGTCATGCAGATGCCACCTTGACGATCTCCTGCTTTGAGGTTGGCCGCGTACTGGCTGTCAACATACTGAAGTTAAAATGCTGCTTCCGGGCAAAAAGAGAAAAAAAATATATCAGGTCAAATTATTTCATCAGGAACATTTTATAACTTCATACTTCAACATTTAGGTATGGATACATGATAACAGAAATACATGGAGTCCTGTCTCACACATTCAACTTTGTAATTACTATCCATTTCTATTCCTCCTTTGCTTACTGCCAACTTATCTGAAATGTACTTGTGACTCTTGCATAATATGCAAAAAGATTGAATTCTCATTTATTGAACATGATACTAAATTGGCTTCAAGCAGAGCATTAAGGAATAGTTCTCTGTAATATCTGTTGAAAAATGGAATGAATAAAGCAAAGAAGGAAAATGCAAAACTTACCCTGAAAGGATCACCCCTTAAGGACTGCACAAATATAGAGTTCCCTGACTCCATCCCCTACAAATGAACAAGAAACACCTCAAATCTTTAATTCCTTATTGGTCAAAAAAAGCTGTCAGGAGCAGTAGGCATAAAAGCAGTCAAAACCAAAAGTGAGATATGAAATATCAAAAAAATTATGTTTCTGAAGTGATTTGGAGTTTAAGTCTGGGGTATTTGAGTCCTTAACAATGAATAGAGCCCTCTCCACCTATTCCCATTCAGCTTTCCGTTAAACACCAATGGAATATGAAAATGTACCTCAATATAGACATCCCTAAGTCGCCTTCCAGTTTGAGCACAGCATATGCGAACAACATGTTCATCGCAACTGCCACTAATGATATAGTCCCTTCCATTCATATAATATGAACGAGTATAGTTATGAGCACTTCCAGTTGAAGTTATGTTAAAATTCATGTGGAGCCTCCCATCTACTGCCAAAAGTTGCTTAACCTGAATGACACCATTAAGGGTTAGCAATCTTTTGAATCCATTAAAAGGAGAACCAAGACCACAATCACTTGCACGAAAAGGCTAATCCAAATTAATCTGTGAAGAAATTAATAATAAAACTGATTGCTTTCAAAAAAAAAATCCTGATCATTACTAATGGCCTATGATTATCTTGTCAAACTCAACCAAACAAAATCTTGAAACATGCTGACCAAGTATACTTAATCATTTAATCCTTTTCAAGCACCACAAATCCCATCTTCATAGAAGACATAATAAATTTTCCCAAATAGGTTTAATCTATAATACAAAATTACAGTTGAGATGGATCTATGTACCTCATTATCAATGGCCGACACAAGAAGATAGAGATCATCTGGAGAAAAGCAAACCATAACATTTCCTCTGGAGCTTGAAGCAGTATAACAAGGCCTCTCTGGTCTCTCCCTCAAATCCCACATCTTCACATCTTTGTCAAATGATGATGTAGCAAACATAAAAGGAGAGTGATGAGCAAACTTTGCAACATTAATAGGCTCTTGATGCATATTAGTGAATACTTGTAAACGTCTTCCACTGCTAATGTCATATAGAGCAACTCCTTTTGAGTACCCACTGGCAAGGAACTTGTCATCTGTTGAGTTGACATGAACAGAAGTTAATTGTTCAAAATCTTCAAAACTAACTGCATCAGAACCACAACATGTGTCTCCTAGTTTTGCCGGCATCTGATTAACGTCAAACAACTTCAAGCAACCATTATCAGATCCAGAAACAATCTGTGTTTTCAACACAGAGAAAAAACCATCAGTGATAACCAAAGTTACAAAAGCAAAATAGAGCAGCCCAACATATAACCTAGGTGCCACTATCTATTCCAATGTATTTCTATGGCTATTACTTAAATCAAATATATTATCAAGCAATTAATTACTATCTAATTAATCCCATTTCAGAATATGAAATGTGAAAGCTTGCCACTGTTGCTTGGACATCCATGAGGTAAGCACAAAGTAGACCAATTCCAAGGCACAAATGAACCATGAACAATGAGCAGAAAAAGCTTCAAAATCTCTCTTTTTTCATAGACTACTCCATGAAACATTTTAATGTGAACACAAAGCCAATTATTCTGTTTATCACTACCATCTAATATGTAATGATATTCACATTATTTTACTACACAACATAAAATGCTTCTTTGAAGCCCACTTAATTCAGATTGAAGAAACAGGGCACTCGTGTAATTAAAAACTGCAGATAAAATTACCTAATCAGAGAATAAACTGCTGCATTGCAGTGAATCCATACCTTGGATGGATATTTCTTGAGCCAACAGAGTCCCAGAATGCTGTTCATCATCCCTGTAGATGAATTATAGCCAACGATATTCCCAGTCTCATGGTTGATAACAACTATTTCACCATCTAAAGTTCCAAAAGCCATAAGGCTGGAGTTGGAAGGATGGTACTCAAATTGCCTTGGACGGAGCCTCTTAGTTTCTTCTTTAGATATATGGCTAAAGCTGGACACAGGATGGAAGAAGGGCCATGTGGAAGACCCAAATTTGGCAGCACTAAGAGATCTCGAGAAGAAATGTTGACTCTTTCCACAAGAATATGGTTGCTTTAGCTTTGAAGAGTTCTGGCAGTAAGTAACACTTGTTCCCATTTCACGCTTCTGCAAAATGTTAACAACACTTTCTCTGTGGTTATATTTATATGGTAAGTACTCATAGTATTCCGAACAGATAGCCTTTGAAGTTTCCCTCTCCATCTTTTTGATCAGCAGATTATCTAATACTTCTAAACTGGGCAAGGAAGCAACCATGTACTCTCTATAATGTCTCTCAAAGCATATGGGTGAAGGATGATGCCAAGTATCTTTATGCAATGTCCCAGTGACATTCTTCAAGGCCTGCTTCTGCACATGTAATGAATGCTCATCATTGTCTTGTATCTGCAGCTTGCCAAAAGAAGTTAGAAAATCTACAATTATGAAGAAATCTAAAGTTTTCTAATCACTATAGATCATACCTACAAGCATATTCTCTGCTTACCTCATTTTGCGTTTTGGACTGTTCATACGAATTAGGAAGCGAACCGGTTGATGCTTCCAATAGGTTTTGAAGGTAACCTGAAAGTTTGACTTCATCAACTTCTGATGGATCATCTGTTGCTCTCTGATCTTCAGATACCATAACCGATTCTTGGAGAGAAAGTAAGTCTATAATTGTCTCATCAGCAGAAGAAGCTTGCAATGTATCACATCCAGTAATGACAGAAAGTTCCTCATTGTATGAACAGATATTAATCACATTTGAACGAGGCCTCTCATTCTCAAGCTTTCCTTTCTCCCTAGATGACGCACAGCATGGCCCAGTATCCTTGCAACAAAGACAATTTTGGAACCGTAATTCCAATAAGGAAGGAAGTTTCGCTAGAACTGCTGTTGTTGTCCAGAGATTAGCAACTCTGGTCTCACACATTGATAGACGCATCAGATTTGGCATGCAAGAAAAGCAGTCCTTTTGTAAAGTAGTAAGTGAAGTACAAAAATCCAAATTTAGGGTGTGCAACTGCATAAACCTTCCAACCATGTTGAGTTTTTGGATATGGCTTGACCTCAAGTTTAAAACATGGCAAGGCAAGCCAACGTGGCATAGATCCCTGAGTAGATCCCCAAAAATAATAAAGTTTAAATTTTGTCCAAATGATAAATATTTCGATGCACTTAAGCTTCATTGTTAACTAGAATCAGTTGGTGACAGTAGAAATTTATCAGAACAAGAATATGAAAACATTAAATCAATAAGTACCAAATTGGTACAATATCCATAAAAGTTAGTTAAGGGCAAAATAAAATTCCACACGATAACCGTCAAATGCACTTAAGGGTTACAAGATAATGGACCAATGCAGTATTATAACCGAATTCTAGTATATGTCTTTCCTTAAGCTTCATAAAATATATTAGGTAAGTAGCTTTTCTAAACATGCTGAATTCCATCAAATGGGAGACATTTTAATGAATCTGTACTGTAGGACGTTGCAAGATAAAATTTTAGAGATGCAATTGCCCTTTATTTTCCCTTTCTTGCTCTGTTACTAACCATTTGTACCACTAATCATTATGAATGTAAGCCCCATATAGTCTCTTGCAGCTTGCTATATTATTCTTCAAATTGATAGCAGATTCTAATAAAACACTTCCATATACCAGAGATTTTTTCCTCCTTTAGATACATCAGAGGGTTGGTTAACACTACCATTAAAATCTCTGGTATATGGAAGTGTTTTATTAGAATCTGCTATCAATTTGAAGAATAATATAGCAAGCTGCAAGAGACTATATGAGGATCTGAATATCAAACACAGAATCATCAAATCATATTTGGTCCTTTAATTGGTGAATGATAAATTAATTTACTTTTAAGTTAGTTAACATCTTGTTCAGCAGAGAACCTGCATCTCTATGTACTATACATATTTTAAGTAATTGCTATCAATCAACTATTTTTGAGAGGTCTGCAAGTATTATTGCTTTGACTATTGACAAATCTCAGGGATGTAAGGCAACTTCATTCAAAGGGTGAGAAACGAAAAACATATATATTTGAAAAACAACTTGAAAATTACAAGTAAAAATCTTGGGAATCATTCAAACATGTTATAACCAAGAGTGGTAAAGGGATGGAAGTATTACAGACCAGAGAAAGTCCTCCTTTATTGATGCATTAGCAAGATCAATTACTTGGAGCTTTAGTTTGATGGCATTCATCAAAGAAAGTATGTATTCTTCATTCAAGAAAGAAGTTGATTCATGATGGAAGATATCAACTCCATCAATATCAGTAGAGTCGATTTCTGCAAATACGTCAATTAATGGAAGAATATCATCATCTTTCAACTGGTTCAGCAAAACCACAATTTTACACTTCTCTTGACAAGACTTTTGAACCTTGGCCTGAAAGATAAAAAAAAAAAGTCATCAATGGCTGTGAAAACTATAAATTGACTTGAGATATGAGTCAATATTATTCCTATCAATCAGCTACAAGAAATATGCTGTACGAAAACAATCTAAGCATTTTAAAGGAAACAATTCTTTTGAAAACTTGTACCAGCCCTGGCATACACACATTCATGCACAATACATTCTACAGGATGTTGTAAAATTGACCTTAGAGAACCAGGATAGTACTGCAGAGCTTGGTGGAACTTTATGCCTCCTACAAGAATCAAGATACCTAGCACCAAAAATAGAGAATTCGGGCGTTAGTAAAACGCTAAAATACAGAACTGCAATATCAGAATGACAAAGGCCTTCAGAAACTCCCATGAACAATACACAGTTCGGTTACCAATTGTCTATATTAAGAAAATGTGGAGATGAAGTACAACCGTGTCTCATCAAAGAGTGAATGGATCAAAACGAGGGGTTTATAAATAAGGTGTAAAATGTCCACGTCTCACTCATCCCATTCATTACCATATCGAGTTGGGTTAATCTTATTCTTCAGCAACTGAAAGGAAACTCTTTCAAAGCTCTATTTCGAGTTTAAACAGGCAAGCTTTCACTAATCTAGCCAAGTTCAATTAGTTCACGGTGTCAACATATTTCAGCTGGATGATGACACCCTATGAATGGCATTGCTAAAACAATGATTAAAAACTAAATTTGCTCTAAATTGCAGTATTAGTTTACATTCATGCAAATACATTACCATTACTTCAAATATCTACAAATTCTAAACCACATGATTTCTTCACTGGTCAACTCCATTTTATCAATTAATCATATACTTACACGTTCTAAACAACCGCTATGTACGGCAAAAACAATAGTTGAACAATTAACCAGCAGAAAAAGAAAGAAAGAAAGAAAGAAAGAAAGAAAAGGCACCAATCCTGTAAGCTGGAGATATCCATGGATGGACCTTCGCCAAGTTTCTGCTCTGTCTTTGTAGTTTGCAGTTACCAAAGTGGTAACAGTGGATCTAAACTTTGGTAAAGTAAGAGAAAAAAATATATATTAAAGTCACTCACTGTATCTGCAACAGGTGAAGTGATACCGTGTATAAGTGAAGTGGCGTCTCAGAAACACATGTCTCAGAGGATAAGCATAAGCAGCATTTACCACTACTATTTGCTCTGCTCATATCAATTCGGACGTTTCTTTTGTCAGTTAGCCTTGGCGGACTATGACATTTCAACTTGTTGTGGGTCCAACTCTGATGCCTCTTCTTTATCTCCACATGTTTTAAACGAGTCATGTCCTCAGAATGGGTCCATCATCAACCTACACGGGTTCAGCTTTGGGCCTATCAGTTCACCTGAATTCCAGACTCGAACCGGAGATAAGCTAGCCTGGAGGCCCTGGGCCACATGCATTGCTCTCGAAGAAGACCTTTCCTCCCATTGATTAACCATAAGCGTATTTACCCATATTTACCCATGTAAATTATTAATAAATTTTACTTAGGTGCGCTTTAGGACTTGATTCCGAATAATAGAGACTTACATACCAAGCAACTATTGCTATTTGTTTTGATGCGGCAGGATGCCTATATCACTTTAGCCAAGACCATATAATGTCATTCTATTTGCATTTTTTTTCTTTCCTTTTTCTCTCCTTATGGATGGCCCACAAGGAAGCTAATGCACTTCTTGCTTTTCAGTTATAATTTTTGTCTCAATCTTATCTGGTAGTACTATATTTATGCATAAAATAAAACCAATGGTGTGAAAAAAATTTAAAACAAATAAGGAAAATTGATATAAGCACACATACATGTGGGAAGGCTCCCCTCAATAAGAAATCATATAAATTGTCAAATTATGGAATAATTAGCATACGGATTGTTTTCACTGTGAGTTCAATGGGCAAATATTAAAATTTAAAAAGATCAAATAAAAAAACAAATAAGAAAGACGAATGGAAGTAATAATAAAAAACAGTTAGGGGTTGTGATCATTATTATGGAATTGAAGATGCTCAAGGTGTATTGGTTGTGAAATAAAGAGTAGGTCCTAAACTTTTGAAGAGTAATATTGAAATGGAAGGCACAACCAGGGTAGGAGTTTATTAAAAGGACTGCTCAGATTTTACACTTAAGAGGCACAAGTCAGGAAGTTTTGACTGAGGGGAAAACAAATCAGGGTCCATGTAATCAATGTTTAATTGTGTATGATTGTAATATAAATATCACAAGTTGCTTTTCATTGTGTGGGCAATCAAAATAATTCGTAAATTTTTTAAACTCAATTTTACTGCATTTTAAAAGCATCAAAAGAAGATTGATAAAAATAAAAGTTCACTAATTTTACTGATTAAATCAAACACGTGCTGTTCTGCAGGAAGCTTGGTCAGATCTTGAAATATGTTCGTACGTTCATGTGGATGGACAGGGTTTTTTAAAGCAATTTAAAAAAAAAGATATTTAATCTCAACCAAGTACCAACTACCAAGACAACCAAAATAATACTATATCATGAATTAATCTGCTCCTTTAAATTGTTAAGAAACTAGTAATGTAGGATTTCCCCCACTTAGATCTACATCCTAATTAAGTCTCTCTCTCTGATGATAATGCTATCTATTAATTTACATAACAAGTTTGCAGAAAAAAGAATTGACTTCTTTTCACCATTGGTTGATAAGCGTCTGTCCACGGCATCTTTCGGTTCCTAAAAGCTACGGAAGTCCATTTTCTGATAACAAGCACAAATATGAAAAGGATGACATCGCAGCTGAAACTTTTTTTTTTTTTGTGTTAAAAAAAGATGCCTCTGCTTCTGCACTATAGGTCCCAACTCTCAGAAGGTAACTAAAACTCCGATGCCACAACGTTGTCATTTGTCAATATGTATATATTTGGCTGTATGGTGATAATTTTTGCTGCCTCAATAATGGAACTTTATTTGAACGGGAAGCCGAAAGCCTAGCATTAGAGGTGACTTCAATATGGGATTAGTTCCCATGAACTTTGGGTTTTTATTTTTTATTTTTTGTTACTTTAGAGATTGAATAGTGAATTCTAGAAAAATAAAAATAAAAAACAAGATGCTTCCGAAGCAGATAATGGCTAAGGAGTACGTTTTTCATCTTGGAAGCTTTCGTTTTTTACCTGAAGAATTTTATGACAAGAGCAATGAGCTTTCTCAACATGGGTGGAGAGACTTCTGGTTCGAGCTGTCGTGTCATGGGTCACAATTTTCCGAAAACTTTTAACGGCACGCTTGCGTTTGATGAGACAGGTGTAACAATTGTTATCTGTTAGTGTTTTACCCACGGTTACGGGTGACAATACAAGCTCATTGAGGGATAAAAAAGGATCAGCGGCAGACCAGACTTTCCATACTGCCCATAAACGGACCGTTTGCATAATAGGGATATATGACGCGATTCCCACTCACCACATCCACCCGATGCTGGGTCTTTTACTGGTTGATTCGTAAATGTCTTTGAAAAGTTGCAATTCAACGAGTTTTGGAGACGAAATCCGAGAAAAAGCTTGAACAAATGTGCCTGGTGTTAGCCATTCACTCTTGCGTGTGTTTAATAAGTACTATAAATGGGGAGTATACTAGATGCTGACTACTGTGGTAGCCATTTCCAACAGTTGGGTGCACTCTCAAGTCTCAAGAGGTTTTCATCATCAATCATGACAGACAGAAATGCTTTGTGTTGAGGAATAAATTCGTTTCATTTATCGAAAACAATTCCTTGATGACGTGATAAATAATCAATTGTGATTGATTGCCTGGAAACTACTGAAGAATTTGTGATTTATTAAAAGTAGAACCGAAGAATAATGAAGTAAGCCACGCTTAAAAGGAAATCTAAATGGGAATGGAATGAGAAAGAAAGAAAGAAAAGCATCCTAGAAACAAGTAGTCCAGAAGGAATAAGTACGGAATTAACACAAAAAAGAAGGAAGAAAAGAACTAAGTCTCCCCCTTCAACTTTCCCAAAAGAATTACAAAAAAATGTGGTCAAATCTCCAACAAGATAAACCACACCACTAAAGTAGTATTCAAAAGGAAACAAATGGAGTAAAATAATATATTCAATGAGACCAGTAGATTACAAAAAACGAAATAAATAAATAAATAACACCAAATCCAAAGCTCTCTTGAAATCAATGCAATGGCGCGCCATCCCAATGCCAGTCCTCCAATATCTTCTGCATGCTCTTGATTGCCTCTGCTCCACTCTGCAATTTTTTTAAATTTCGACAAAATTCTAATTTAGAGATCTCCGAAATTCCAAAGCCAATTAATTAACTACTAAAAGTATTTAGATTTAATTATTATTTTATTTTGGTAAAATGCACGGAGTGTAATTATTGAAACCATGCAACGTGTATGTACGTTCTGACATTGACCTGAATCGGTCATTTTCGCTGTCACTCTAATTTTTAGGCTCTACTGTAGATCACCTCAGGATCCAGCTGGTTCTCTTAAATAACTAATGTCCAGTTCCACTACCTCGCCGGCGCGTCATTCAAACGCGCTTAAACGAACCGGACGCTCACTTGAGCCAGAATTCACATTCTAATTTCCAAAGTTCATTTTCGAAATATTATAAACTCGAGTATGCTAATAAACGCTTATGTATTAGTCTAAATTCTTAGATCTAGAGGCGCATTGTTGACCGGTTTAGTTAGAACCCAACAGATAGAAACGAGAGGAAAGAGAGTATAATGTACTCATCGGCGAGCGACGGAAGGCCGGGAGAAGCGTCGAGGCTTGGTCCAGGAGCTCCTTATGGGGCGGGAGGTCCAAGCATTCAGGTGAAGGAGCGGGGCATTGTGTTTCTTAGACTTCTTCTTGCTCTTGCTTGGAGCTGGTCAGGAACCTCAGCAGTTGTCGTGCAGCAACAGGACCGGAGGAGAAGCGGAGCGCTCTGGAGGAGTTGCTGTGTTCGCAGCTGGGGTAGAGCTCACAGGAAATGGAGCCGGTGAGAACTTACGGAGTAGCAGCAGGAGGGGAAGAAACCGGAGCAGATTTAGATGGAGCCGGAACCGTCGCAGGTTTCTCCGGAGCCGCAGCCGGTGGGGACCGAGTTGGTTGAAGATGTTGGTGGTGAATGATGTGGAGAAGTGGTTGGAGCATTAGGAGCGGTGATTTTTGCTCGCAGGAGCTGTAGCAGAGCAGTAGTAGCTAGTTGCCGCTGGAGGAGCTTTAGTGGTGCGGCGGTAGGAGATTGACCACCGACACCAGCCACCACAATGCAAATCAAAGCAACAAGCAACGCGCTTCTACGATCCATTCTCTTTTTCGGTTTTGATGCTTTTTGGCTTGAGACTGAGTGGGGAGTGAAGTAGTAAGAGAAATAGTGGCAGAGAGAGAGTATAAATAAATAAACGAAAAAAATAATCATGACGGTGATCAAGGTAACGACGGATCTGAACCGTAAACAAAATGTGGCCCACGATCACATGGGTCAGGATTAACCGTTGGATGAAACCTATGGGGCCCACGATTATCCAACTACCAAACAAATTAGACAGTGAATGTGTGCGCTCGACACAGTCTGGAATGGGGGCCCACTAGGAAGGGCGTCCCAAATTAGTGCATGTGATTTGCTGACACCACTAATTATAATTCAACTAAATCTTGTTTAATTAATTTCTCGTGGGGCGTGATTTTTTAGTTTTCTTTTTAAAATTTTTGTGGGCTGGAAATGGAGTAATGGAGTGGCGAGACAGCTGGAAGGACCGTGAGGGTGGTCATGTTGCGCAACGTGACAAACCAATAGGAGGCGACCACGTGAGAGCGTTACGGCAATATTACAGGCAAAGTTGTTGCGTAGAGTCGAGTGAATTTTACATGGGATTATCACAGTCACCGGCACAAAACTGTGGGTCCCACGCAAAAGTTGTCTCGATGAGCGTGCCACGCAAACGCACCAAGCTTTTTCGTCTGTTAAAGTTTGTAAAATGAAGAACCTGGCAAAGCAGCTATGGCCCTTTTGGGGTGATTTTTTGGAATGTATTTTCTTAAGTACATATTTGGTTTTTTATATATATACATAGTTTTTAATATGATTTGATTTGATTTGATGGTGAAATTGGAACAATATTTCAATAGGTTAGGAAAGACATTTGGTTGGAAATAGCCAATGGGTTGTGAAAGATGTTAAAGAAGCTTACTTAGTATCTTTTTGGCAATTAATATGTGTAGCTTGTATTGGTTAGAGTCTAATAAAGAAAGTGACAGAAAGATGGCCATGGCTTTTTATTTTTTTAAAAAATTTCTTCCTGAGATTTTTAAATCAGGGTTGATGATATGTCAAGACCATTGAAGAGCATTGAATAGCCAAATTGTTAACCACTTTGGGAATTGGGCTCAGATTCTTTAACCCATCTTTGTTTTGCTTTTTTAAGGTGATGAGAGACAAGATGAGCGCAAGATTCTGTACGACATTTTCAGATTTTCCTACAACCATGCCTTTATTTTATCCTCCCACTTTTCTTTTTAATTAATTAATTAATTAACCTTTTAATTATTGAAATAGTATTGGTACTGTTTTTTTCCTTCGGCTTATGCTTAAATTTTTTACTGAGAGTCAAGCTCAAGAAGGTAATGCTATATATTTGATTTTTTTTTAAAAAAAAAACAACAATAGTTTTTATAATTAATTGAGGGATAAGTTAGTCATATTTCAAAACAGGGAAAGGCATTTCGTCATTTTCTATCCAAACCATGAGTTGCAAATCAAAAGCATAACGAACCATAATGTGTTTGGCAATGTGTTGGCCACCAAAATGTTTTTATTTTGAGAGTAAAACACAATGCCAAACAAGACCTTAATGGCACCTTGTCCCTATGCGTGCTGACAATGAACTATTTAGAGTCAGCTAGGCTCAAACTCATTTAAGATATATGCCAAACTTGGAAACTAAATTAAGTCCTTTCATCCATTGTTTTCATTTTTCTTTTTCTTTTTTTTTAAATAAAAAAGTTAGAGAAGGCAAAGGGGAGAGATAAACATTTTTCATCCTTATTCACAAAAATAAATCATTTTTTATTCACTTTTCCATATTTTCCACAAAACATATATATACATATTCCATTTTTTTTTCACTTTTCTCTTCCTCAATTTTCTATTTTCCAGTGCCCCTGACCCTACCAAGCAAAGCCTAGATCCTATGTTGCTTTTGACTTTTCATTTTTTTTTGAGATAATTGTATTGCACACATATAATTGTGACCAATAACCAATTGACCCAAAGGTTCCATATCTGAGTCCAACTCAGGCCCAAGATGTTCTGTTGGCCATAGCTCTTTACGAACTATATGCGCTTGGGTTAGCTTTGGGACGAGCAGAATTAGTAATGGCAATCCAAGCTCGGCTTGTATGAATGAATCTCTTTGGGCTGGGATTCCACCAGTTAGGTTTGATTCGTACTATGTGCTGTGAACCTGAAACATGTACAAGCGTGGGTTCTTTTTCTTCTTCTTTGGGTAATCGTGTAAGAATGCGTCAGATTTCCAATCTAGCTAGCAGACATGGTTGCAACTTTTGGAAGGCTAACATCACCAGAGAAACTTCAAAACAGGCCTGGGTTAAAAGGATCATACAACTTGCCATTGATATATTATGAAGTTGTCTTTCCAGAGTTTCCACCTCGGCAGTAGAATTCTCTATAGAGTTCATACCAAATCAAAAAACTTTGAAATGCTCATTGCAAATTATCAAATAAGATACACACCTTTTGATGTCCAACAAAAACATTTCCTTTCGACCTGAAATTAGGCTTTCTCATCCACGCTAAGCCTGTGAGCTTCAAGCTCATGTGCCTGGAAATCAACGCTTGAGCACGCGAAGCCACAAACTGATCATGAACTACATGCATATTATTATTCAATAAGGACATATGTCAAGATATGAACTAAACTCCCATAGATCCTGATTGCAATCATTCATCATAGTTGACGACATCCGAGGAAAGATTACATGCTTCCTTAAGATATTAAACCTAACTCGCAAAGTAAAACTAAACTGTTTAGAGCTAATCATGCTTTCCAACATATAGTTACAAGTTGAGCATAGAAGCTGCATTTTGCATCTACAAGGATATAAAAACCATGTTAGAATGAATAAAATATAGAACCAATCAGGTCTTTTCACATAGATAACATGTTGCATATGGAAGCCGCATTTTCTTGAGACCAGCCCAGTTGTACTTGGCTGCATATTTTTGTGAGTTCTTCTTCACTTTTTGAGTTGGAAACAAACTAAAAAGCACCTGTGGTCGATTGTTTTTGATCATGACAAAGTGCATTGGTTGGCTTCGTATGAGGGAACCATGGTTCCAGTTCCTTTGATCTAAAGGGAGTGAGATGTAGAAAATGATTACTCACTTTGTTTAGTACTTCTGCAACTGCACTTTTTTTTTTTTTGAGAAAAGAAACTAAAATTATTTAAACAGTTTGCTTTCCAAGGGTTTACCATCTGAGATTTGAATGATTCATTTCAAAGTGATGGTGTGTATGCTATCCATAGGCTAGAAGTGTGGTCCATTGTCTACATTGTTGATAGCTGCCTTCTTAACTCTTTGATTGAATCGCCACAACCTCCATTTTAGTTGTACATATCAACCTTTTTTTTCCTTCTGATCAGAACTGATTCATGTAGGTCAAGTGTAATCAGGTTGCTTAGGCAATAAGAACAACATATAATAATAAACTTTTTGAATTGTTTATGGTATACGTGCGTTTGGCATAGCAGCAATAAGAATTGAATTGAATTTATAGCCACTGCCAGCATCCATTAATTCTGAGTCTTGACCATTTCAACATATAGATCGGAAGAAAAGAGTTTCACACTTACAATTTCCTTATGGTATTATTCATTTTAGGGCTATTGCATCTTGTACATGTCTGATACATCAATGAATGAATTTGGGTTTCTGAAAAGGATTCATATATGGATCATAACGCATAAAACTTCCTAATTTAGGTAGATTTGGGATCCTACTTCTAAAGGCGAAGGTGACAACAACCATTACTCTTGCCTGACTACTGTTCTATAGATAAAATATTGGTTATAACCTCTTTTTCTGACTCTCTCTCTCTCTCTCTGCTTTTTCGTCTCCTTTATATTAAGTTTCATGCGTAGCTTAGTTGCATAGTTGTAACTCCGCACCCACCAGCGCTCCAGGAAACTGATGAGCGCAGCTTTTTTCTTGCCTATTGACCTTCCCGCCCCTGAAACTCATCTGGATTCCAACTCTCTTTTTCCTTCCATGGAGTCACCACACCAAAATAATAAAGCCAATAACACTGTCAAGATGCATTCACAGCCACCATGCAGCAAGCCCTGTTGTTTCTTCTGCACGATGAATGAGCCAGAACCATCTTTAAGAAGATCCAAACTCAGCCAATGCTTCAAAGAGATGCCTCTCAGAGATGACCAAGATCATGTTTTGGTCTTAAGTGGGCTCTGGAACATTTCCATGACTCAACCTGATGATGCAGAATTCCCATCCCTTGGTATATTTGAATGCATGGCCAAACTGATCCATAGAGGCATTACTGATCAGGATTGGCTTCTTAGAGGTCAGAATATCTATATCCCCTACTATGCTGCTCATATTATTGGTTCATATACAATGGACAAAGACCAATTTGCAGAAAGAGCTGTTAAATCAGGTGTAGTTTTGCCATTAATGGAGCTTTTGAGAGGTAAGATGGGTTGGGTTGAGCAACGAGTTGCAGTTCGGGCACTGGGTCACTTGGCCAGCCATGACAAAACCTTCGAAGCTATTGCTGTGCATGAAGTGGAAATCATAAAACTGGCGATGAAGATAGCTAGCAATTGCCTTGAAGTGATTTATGAAGAGTTTATTGGAATAAAAGATACGAAGAGACCGAAATACTATTGTGACCTCCTTACAAGAGGACTTGGAGGATTGGAGTTGCAGTTCAGGAAGGCTGAGGAATGGGCTAGTCAGCTCCAATGTTGGTCGCTCTATCTGTTGAATTGCTTTGCATGCAAGGAGAAGTCTCTCAACTTGATCTGCAAGAAAGAGTTCTTGAAGACTTTGTGTGGAATGTGGGGTGGATTAGTGAATCTAACCTCTCCTGCTGGAATTGGATTGCTAAGAACTCTGTGTTCCTCTAAAGCAGGAAGAGAAAATGTAGCAAATTTGAAAGAAGTAATAGATAGTCTTTGCAATGTTTCAAGATCTTCAGATGACTGGCAAGAAATGGCTGTTGATTGTCTTTTATCGCTTCTCAAAGACCAAGATACAAGATATAAAGTTATTGATATTGCAGCTTTGTCTCTTGTTGATTTAATTGAACTCAGAAGCCTTGGAGCAAGAAAAAAAGTGGGAGAAACAATCACGCATACATTGTTGCAAGATTACCACAAAATCAAATATGGTTTCTTGAAACTGAAGAGCAAGAAAGCTGAGAGAGCATTAGAAGAATTATGGGAATTGAAGGTGGAGAATATAAAGAGAGACAAGCTAATGTCTGAGCAAGACATGAAAGAGAGAGAAGTGTTTATAGGGAAGTTGAAGAAACAAGGCAACAAAAACTTTTGGTCCGGTGAAATTGAGCAAGCTTGCAAGATGTACTCGAAGGCCTTGGATTTGTGTCCAATAAACACGAGAAAAGAGAGGATTGTTCTTTACAGCAACAGAGCTCAGTGTTATCTGCTACTTAAAAACCCAGCAGCCGCCATTAGTGACACAACCAGAGCTCTAAGCTTATCAAGTCCTGTGAGCCCTCACAGTAAAAGCTTGTGGAGAAGGTCGCAGGCTTATGACATGAAAGGGTTGGCCAAAGAGAGCTTGATGGACTGCTTAATGTTCATCAATAGTCGCATAAAATCTGAGCACACCAAGCGTGTCAGGATCCCATACTATGCTGCAAGGATGATCAACAAGCAGATGAATGCCACGTGGCTATTTGCGAATGCCAAGTCAAAATTTTGCAGTAAAAACGGGGAAAGAGTATATGAATGCAATGGAAAATACCAGCTGCAGGAAATGCTGCAGAGGTTGATGGATGCCAAGGACAATGGTAAGCCTATAACGTTAGCCCTGTAAATATTGCCATTTATTGATATTAATTTACATGAAGTGAAATTTCTTTGACCCTACTACAAATCTTTTGCTCATTTAGGAACAGTTTGTTGATGTTTGTTTTCCCCTTTTGTTGGTCTCTTAGGTATGCCAACTAGTGTAGAAGACCCTCTAGTTGAAAAGAGACGGAGGAGAAAGCAAGAAAAAGCAGGCAGGAGAAGAAAAGGCATCAGCGTCCCTGCTGGATGGGCACATGCCAAAAGTGGGATGAGAGACAGCCAAGTGCTGTCCATCACACAGTAAGAGGTGGAAAGAGACATGATCAACAAAAACCAACCGTTGACAACCATAAGCAGAAGCATGCACGGCAGCCGGTAGGATAATCAGAGAGTCAACCCATAATATGCAGCCAGGCTACGGAAAAAGACCTCTGCATCCATTGAGCTTGGAGCACTCTCTGTTCTTCACTTGGAGGGTCAATGCCAGTTGCCAATCCTATGAGAAAACTACATGTAAAGCCCATAACGCAACTTGTCAAAAGTTGGATTGTTCAAATATTCATGTTGTTATGATCACCATGGTAGAGAACCCACAACCAATGTAACTTGAATTCTTTGTCCCTTTTTAACCACTGCAATTAATTGAGCTACACAAATGCAAAAGCAAACAACATAGAATGCCTCCTTTATCCATACTTTTCCATTAGTTTCTTAAACCAATAATAGTAAAACCTAGGGATAGATTTAATAAAACATAAAGATATTTTGGCAGATAATGAATTGAATTATTTTCTCTTTACCAACCTATATCTCCCCTTGCCTTGACCTCCCTCTCGTTGAGAAGAGAGAATACCATGAATCTAGTACTATTACTACTGATTATGACCCTTTCAATGATTAACCAAAAGATAAAATATCACCATTGATTCGTTTCCACAGTAAAGAAAAAGGCTGAGAGAGTATATGTGTTGAATGATAGATGGACTAGCTCAAGCTTTTTCTTTCCACCCACCAGTTAGATCCAGCTATTACCCCTAAAATATTACACGTAAAAGAAGAATTTGACAGATTAAGACCTCTTAACCAATATAAATTATAAAAAACTTATATAGAGAATCTAATAAAAATCTTTGGTATTAACCAATCTAGATTCGATGCGTAACATATCGTACCTAACGCACTGTCCCATTTCTTACATAAGCTAAGATACAAGTAAAATATTGTTCTAGATTCAACCATATCTATAAAAGTAAAACACACGTTGGAAACACATTAGCCAGTATCCGAATCATATTTGGAAATTGGCGAAACAGCATATCCCATATCCAGAGAACCACCGAGAATCCATGGCCCAGGCAATATGTACCTTTTGGAGGCATATGAATGATTGACCTCGTCTTTTCAGTATCTGAGATTTGTTACTTTTGTTCTTGCTGATAATGCAACTCGGACTTGTGACTAGATTACATTCTCAAAATTCTTCGCGACTATCACCGTTTTACTGAAAATTATGGGGAAAAAATTGGCTAAATTTGATGGAAATTATTGAATTCAATGAGGTTTACAGACTCATGACGTGTATAGCAGCCATTTCCTTATTTGTTTCTGGAGAAATTCAAAGAAACGAAGAGAATAAGAATTGCAATAGAGAACAATGAATTTTTAAGCAGATGGAAATCAGCAACCCAAAATTTTCAAAATAATTTTGTCCTAAAACAAGCTTTTGAAACAAAATGGTACAGCCCATGGAATGATATCTATCCAAATATAATCGCATGTATGAAAAAGCCAGATTTGTTTGATGTAAATAACTAGAACACTGCATAGAGTTACAGAACTTCCAAGTTCCATTATTCTATAATGCTGTACAACATATCAATATACAACACATTTTACAACAGCACAAGGCAGTGTAGAAAGTAGAATAAAAATCTGGCCTTGAAGTAACCATGGTTGCCATTGATCTATGGGTATGCGGAAAAACCACTCCAATTTTCAACTTCATGCTGGCAATGATTCTGCAAAAAAAAAAAAACGTTAGATTGGAAAAGTTAATTCATGATCAATGAGTCGATTCCTCTGGCCCTCAAAAACAAGATCTTTCGATGGTACTAACTACCAACGAAATCAAGTTTAGTTCAAGTACATATTTGCGTCAAATCATTTGGCTTAAGTTGTCTAACTCGTGATGTTTAATAATGCCACCCCAAAGAAAAAACCAAGGTTTTAATATGCCATTTAAGAAGATAAAGATTGAGCGATGCAAAAATGATGAAAGAAAAGGATGCACAATCATACATTTTCAACCACTTCAAACCCACCTTTTTGAGTTAAGAGTTCAATCATCATATGGGCTCAAAGCAGCAACAACTGATCCTGTTGTTGCTAAAGTTGAGGCCACATCCGGAAAATCTTTCCAAGATGTCGTCATCTTTACTGATGGATAAAGCCAACTCTTAACGGAATCCACAAAAGAGTTTGGATCAAAGTTTAGAATGGCTTCCCAATCAACCTGCACACCTTTTGGGACGTTGTCTGTGAACTCCATATTAGCAGCAAGAAACAATCCAAGCAAAACAACGAAGCCAACTACTGCAGTGCCCCTTGAGAGTGGCATGAAATTGTACCTGAAAAGCAATCAAGTGTTATTTGCACTAAAAATCTTCAAGTTGTCCAAACATAAACCAATCATTTGCTGTTCTGATAGTCATGTCATACCAGTAGTACGTCATCCTTAAAATAGCTTCTCTCACATTTTCAAGGATATTGAAATCAGTGGACCCATAAGTTTCACCACAGTAAGCATTGCAAATAGCCTGAAAATCGACAAATTTGGTAAACTCAAATGTCAAAATCAATTAGGAAAACAAATAGAAGAAAGAGAGAAAGTTACTTAAAGTAATCGTATAAGGGCAAGCAAGGGGCCATTAATCAAGAGGTATCAGAAGGTAATTAGTATTTTGAATTCCTGCATTTTATGTGGATTTCACAGCATATTACCAACCAAAAAATGCAAAAAACTACATTGCTCAAATCCTCTCAAATTATGTCTCAATTCTAAAGATGAAATTTAAACACAGGTTCAGACCTAAAGAAGATATGATAAAGATATTGCAATGTGACAGAACACCTGAGGAAAACAGTAAGGCTAAATGGACATTCATGCAAGCCTTGACTGTCAAGCATATGATTCAATGAATGGACCAAAAAAATGAGGCCCCATTTACATTTTAAAGTGGTGTAGTCCATAAGCACAACAGATTAATCTACACAGCAAAGAAGAATCCAGGAGACAGTGGAACTCATTTTCATGCTATTTTCAATAGTGAGTTGTATGTTTTGGGCATTTACACATCTGTTCAAATTGAAAATCATCATAAAATTGTCTGATATAATATCAGACAAAGATGGAGGAGTAAGAACATTTTTGGTAAAGAACTGCATTAATAGACTAAGTCTGACGACTAAATATCAACCATTGGCTCATGTTTGAGATCAAGAGCAACTCACTTCCCATGCCATTGCCATTTCAGCATCAAATTCCTCCCATCTGGCAGGTGTGCAAGGTGTTCTGATTGCGAAATCATATCCACGCACCCCCCTGTGAGAATTATTCAATGTTTTTCAACCACAAAAATTAATTGAAAAAGAAAAAAAAGAATGAAATAAAAATAAAAAAGAAGTTGTCATAGACTTGCATTTTCACTAAGGTAATTCTAGTCCCTTCAAGCTGCTTCCTGAAATAAAAAGTAAACCAGCATTAGGTCATGACTAGGTTATGACAAGAAACTTTAGATTCCAAGAAGATCATCCTTCTTGAGTTGTTGGAAGCTTTACCCCTCACAGGCTGTACTGTTGCACCAAGTAGCCAACCAGAAGTCCTCACCCACAAGTTCATAAAGATCATCACAAGATTTGGCATGCACAATCTGCATGTGGTATTTTAATCTTTGCTTCATAATATTTTCATAAACAAAGGTACATATTTCCAAAAACTATTTGCAGTTAAAAATCAACCAGAATGTATGACTTAAAGGTCATACTGTGCAGAACCATGAACTCCATAACATAAAACATAAAGGAACTTCAAAGAATTCTTTAGGCTTTGTTTAGTTTACAGAAAATTTAAGGAACAGTGCATTTAAAAGAAAATGAAATACAGAATCATGAGACTTAGTTTTCTAATGTCTAAAATGATTTACTACAAAGAATATAATTAATCACAAGTAAAAAAAAAAAGTTCCATATCTTTATTTCTTCAATTATTTTTACTTATTTAACCACTGTTAATAACTTGATGCTTCACAAACACTGCAAATCATATGCTCTTTTTGCATTGAATTTTAGATTAATCAAATTAAAACTGATATATAGCAAACTAAAGCCTATGGTAACTCTTAAAAGGAAGGAAATAAAACTCAAATTCCAATTAAAGATATATCAAGAACAAATTTCTTCACAATGTGATTTTGACCGAACAGTTCATGGATTTTAAGTACATAATATATTTTAAATATTAAAAATCTTGTAAGAAAATATGTTATTGCATCTTCAACATCCATTAATTTAAAATCTCTCCTACAGTATCATGGCCATAATTGCAAATTTAATTACTTAAAAATTTTCTAAACATTCATGTAGGTTTCTAATTCTTAAAATTTCATGCCAGCCATTGTTAAATTACAAGCAGAACAGCCACAAAACGATGTCACCCCTATGGCTTAAAAGTCAGCAGCAACAAACATACTCCTATCCATGCAACTAATACACAATACAGTGCCTTCTGCAGGACACTACCTCTTTTCTTATTCCTTTTTCCTGGAATGCTAAGATTTGAACCTACAACTACCTCAAACTAACACTAATCCCTTTATGACTTGAGAAATCTGAAAAGTTACTCTTTCAGCACTGTTCATTTAGGGGATAAATAATCATTGCAGACTATCAAATGCTCTGCTACATGAATAAGATGGGCAATGGCAAAATTATATTACAGTTACAGGTCTAAAACCAATCAAATAGTACTTACCTTTTCTGATTTCCCCTCCTTGGATAGATCAATAATTTCATCAGCTTTGTTGTGCACAAAAAGTTTATCTTTCATGATTGTCTTTGCTATATCAAATGTTCTGCAATATCACCAAATAATGAGGATTTATAACAATACTGTTGTTAACGAATCAAACCAGATATTTACCTTTCATGATTTGGGAAATAGCGAACAACTTTTGCTTGTCCAAGGACCATAGGTGTGTGAGAACCAAATCCAGAATTGAACTCTTCACTGAATAGAAAACAGAGGAGTGCAGGCTCAGTAACCAATCATATGTTTTAGTATGAAATTCCTGAGAACAATTGAAACAATTCAAAAAATGCCAATCTGACTCATCCTAGGGTCTATAATGGTGAAAAATGATCTTCAACATCATTAGATTAGTTGATTATAATCTATGATCCTATGAGTAGAATTATGACATTTTCTCCAACTTGAATCTATACTGCAACAAGAGCAGCCTTCAATTATAGTAATTGTATATGACCCAGTGGGACTCACATGCACTGTTGGGTTAAAAACCAAATATAAATAATGAAAGAATCATTAAAAAGCACACTTTTGATATAGCAATAAAAAATCACACTTT